AACAACAACAACCATAATTTATGTCTTCTCACAGTTGATGGTCAGTCCTTTCTCGTCGCTTTCCATTATTACTTTGTCTAGGAGGTCCTGTGTGTTTCTTTTCGTGTCTGTCATCTGCGTACCTTATATTGTTAAAATTTCGCATATCGATAATAAATCATAGTAGAGTTCCCAAAACAGTCTCCACGTACAGGTTGAAGAAACCTGGAAAGAAATCATATCCTAGTCCCATGCTCTTTTCTAGTTTTGCGTATCTCTTTAATTTATTTTCTATCCGTGGTTTGGTTCCAGTATAAGTTCTGGAATATTGTAATATCTTTTTCAAATAGATCGGCTTTTCCTAGCAGTTCAAACAGATCCGTTTGCCGTAAGCCCATGAAATAAAAAATTGTTAAAATAAAACGATAACAAAATTAATAAAGATATATAAATTAAAAAATAAAATAAAAACTAAGACGAATATGATAGCTGAAAAACAACACTATATTAGCTGAAACATAACTTTCATTAGTCCAATGCGTACTTCGGACCACGGTACCTCGATTTCCATCCTTTTGTTAAAATTCTTACCAGATATTTAAATTTCTTCACCTGGTTTATGATGGCATTTCCATTTTGTAAAAACGCATTTTAAGAATTTTTCTTGCTGACGACTATACGTTTTTTTTTTTTTTTTTTTTTGCAGTTGGTGGTTATTCTCTTTTTCTGAATTTCTTCGACTACCCTGTCTAGGAAGTTTTGTAGCATCAATACAGTGTCATCTGCGTATCTTGTATCGTTAAGATTCGTTAAGATTACGAATACCGATAATAAATCCTGGTAGGGTCCTTAGTTTCCTTCGGATAGTGTCGCTGTTAGAGGCTGAATAAATCTGGGAAGAAGATATATCTTGGCCTTATACCCACTTCATATATATATATATATATATATATATATATATATATATATAATTTCAGGATGATTTTCCAACTTATTCAAGATGATCTTCGCCTTCTCTAAAGTTCTAACTTTCTGTTCTGGAGTAAAAGGGTGCCTCGCAGGTTTAACGTGCGATTTAATTTTCAAGTCTTTTTCACTGCTTTTTGGACTGTCATAGCTGAAACTCCTCTCTCACGTGCCAAATGTCCTATGAACCCAGTTGGCTCTTTTATAATTGATCTCTTTAGCTCTAAGTTGAAATGAAGATCCCTCTTCCTATTGTGACTTCCTGATCTAGTTTTTCCCTCTACTTGCTCCCCCCCTTTTTTTAAAAACTTATTCACCGTTCTTTTGATGATTTTTAAATCGGTTTTGAAGATGGAAGTCTGAATGTTGAAGATGGAGTATGAGTGTTGGTGTCATTACTGAAGGTCTGAATGATCTTCTCTCACCACTGCTCTTTTGGGAAGACAGTGAGTCTGACACAAAACAATTTTATAGACTAAATTGTATGAGTCGAGCATCTGTATTTTTTTTTAATGGCAGAAGAGGTTCAAGGACAATAGAGAGGAGGTGAAAGCCGATAAAAAACGATGGGGGAGGCGGCTGAGAAGGACATGAGAACATCAGAGCTGGTTGAAAATATTCACAACTTTCTCCATGTAGAACATCATGTATCTATAAAGACTAGAGGCATACAGTTTGGAATTAGTGTGGCTACTGCACACGGAATTATTTATGAAGATCTGAACATGCTCAAAATTTGTGCAAAGTTTCTTCCCAGGATGCTCCGTGACGATATGAAGGAAATATATGTTGGTGACAGCAAGGAGATTGTTGATCAAAGTTACACTCTCCCTACACTTCATACCTTGCTTCCTCTGATTTTCGTTTGTTACCCAAGCTCAAGGAGAACCTCAGGGCAGTTATCTTGAATACATTAACAATATGAAGGACGTTGTAACAAGTCTCCTGGATATTTTCACATTCGATGATATGTATGGGGCCTTCACAAAAGAGCTGCGCCACTACAACAAATGCATTGAAGTCAGCGAATCCTATTTTAAAGGAAATTAGAGTTTTCTTCCCTGAAATAAAAAAAAATCTCCTGGAAAAGTTTCAAATCTTCTGGAATGCACCTCATATTTAATAAATTTGATAATTTCTTTTAGTTGTTGGGTTATTGGTGCTTGTAATGATTAATACTTTTAGTATCTAGTCGTTTTTACAGTTTATGTTATATAGTGCTTTGTGTTTTAATGGAATTACTTCTATTTTTGTTGTTGTCGTATTGTTTGATGGCATGCGGTTTAATTGAACTATTATCAGATAAATAGCACGTTAACTTGCGCGATAATGTAGTAGCTGCGAAACCAATGTGTGTGTTGTTTGGATTATTATGAGAGAAACATTCTTCAATTAAGCAAGCGAGTTTATAAACAACAGCGATTTGTTGGAATTTTTTTTATTTTCATAGAGTAGGTAGGTGTTTGACATTTCTGGACTGTTTATTGTTTATTCTTTATGTTTATTGTTTCATTTTTATTTCCCTATTTGTTTTCTTTTATTGTTTTAAGTTTGTGATTTGGCAGGCTTTGCGTTGGTCGATTTGAATCTACAAGCTTTACCAATACTTTGCTTTGTTTTAAATATATGGTCGCCTGGCGATCGTGGTAGCGAGAAACTCGAGTAGCGAACAGATTAGCGTCTTTGCCCTCGGTCGTTTAGGCATTGAGTTCTGTGTTTGGTTGCATAGTCAGCTGTCTGACTGTTGGTGTTTTATATTCAGTTAGTTTCCATTTCATTTCGGGTTTTATTTAAGTTTCTCTATTTACTGTTTTTCCATTTTTTTTTACTTGGCAGGCTTTGTCTTGGCGGAGTCACAATTATGGGTTTAACCAATACTTAGTATTGTTGTCGTGTTTAGTTATATATATATATATATATATATATATATATATATATATATATATATATATATATATATTGACTACTAATATTATCTATCTATCCATCTATCTATCTATATGCATATAATAAACATTATTTGTAGTGCGAACGAGTATTCGATCAGCTATGTTTCTTTTTATTTCTTAAAAAGTGAAATTAATAAAAACCAGACTAAATTGGGTAGAAAAACTAAAAACAGATTGTGCCACCGACAGGAATTAAATTTGTATCCCAGGAAAGCCGCTTAGGCTGTCGAAATTTCCATTTTTCATTAGAGAAATCTCTTATATAGATAAGGAAAAAGAGGGTATGAGTTCGATTTCTGTCGGAGGCCCAATATTTGTTTAGACTCTTCATTCTAGGCTGGTTGGTATTAATTTCACTGTTTAAGAAAATTAAAGTAAAACAATGATACACACACACACACACACACACACACACACACACACATATATATATATATATATATATATATATATATATATATATATATATATATATATATAAGGCTCAAACACTAATATTCCAGGGTTATAATTTATTACATTGGAATCGTAATCACGATCAATTCATCAGACCTACAAATTCAAAAAGCTGATGTAGGTCTGATGAATTGGATCGTGATTACGATTCCAATATAATAAATTATAACTCTGAAATATTAGTGTTCGAGCCTTTTATATTATATTCTTGCTCTGTCCTGGACATTGAGCTCTACCTGGATTCTATCCTGTTTGAAATATATATATATATATATATATATATATATATATATTAACCACTAATATTTTCTATCAGATTTGATTTGACAATCTTTTTTGATAAATGTACTTGATTAATTTTTTTCGAATTCAAAGAAAATAAAAATTCATTATTTTTTTGATTGATCCCTCTTAATCCGTTCAATTGCCAGTTCCTTGATTTTTTTCTTGTTCAGTTTCCCATTCTCCAACGTCGGAAAGTCATCGAAGTGCAGAAAATAATTCGGAACCATTGTCACCCAATCAAAACTGCTCTTATATTGCATGTTGTTTTCACAAAACTGCCTCAGCGAGCCGCTATCAAACTTCCGCCCAGGAAAGAGTTGGACGCATGCGCAAACATCTTCCCCACAATTGACGTCTGGTACACCGACTACCACAACATTCTGTACATCCGGATGATTATCAACATAAGATTCTATCAATTGTATCGGGAGGTTTACAGTTCCCTTGATGATAAAATCTGATGTTCTCCCTTTCATTATAAGGTCTCCCCCTGGCAACATCATAGCAACGTCTGTTGTTTGAAACCAACCATCTTTAAGGGGACTATTAGAGCCACCGTCATCGTAATTTTTTGTTATCCATGCACTGCGCACAGAGAGTATCCCAGTCTCCCCAAGCTTGACTGTCTCATTCCGGTCATTCACAATCTTTACTTCAACACCCTGAGCTGGTCTGCCTAACATTCCTTGCAGGTGATCTTCGATATTAGATTTTGTAAACATTCTTAGTGATATTAAGATGGCTTCTGTGCTGGCATAGAGTACTAGCATTTTATCTGCGAAGATAAACGAATTGTTGATCATTTCTTTTGTAAGCAAATCTCCACCCGACGCAATATACGGAATTCGAAAGCCGAAATCTCGTAAATCTTTTAGATTATGCGGAGCGAGGCCTACAAAAGTGCAGCCTTCCTTTCGCCAGATATCAACAACTGTTTCAAAATGTTGGGGCTCGCACAAGAATATAGTGTCACCGCTAACGAACCTCGTACCTGTATTTAAATAGGTAAATGGGTATCCGCCAATATAGGCCATGGGGCGGCTACTGTATGTTACATCGTCGCAAGTGATATTTGCATCTTCATTGTAAGCAGCAGTACAGTTAAGGATGCTAAAATGAGAGTGATGTATCTTTTTAGGAGTGCCTGTTGTTCCAGATGTCAGACAGATGAAAGCGGTATCCTCAGGATTCAACATAGGTAATTTTAAAAAGCTTCCGTCATCCTTGGCATCGATTTCAGCAATTAGTTCCGATGCCTGAAGTACGTTAGTGGGTCCACTGTCAGATGAGACAGCAATAGCGATTTTCAAAGAAGGGCATGTGTCACTAGTGATTTTACCACCTGGGTGAATTTTAGCTACAGACAATAAATCATCCCAGTGCTCTTTGGCATCTAGAATGATAAAAGTGCATTTGTCAAGAGCCTTGCTGATATCGGCGGCACCAAGAAGCAGATGGACGGAAGTACCCCCTGCCATCATGATACCCACGTCGTACGTCATCCAGTTGATGCAGTTGGAGACACAGTAGGCTACACGGTCGCCTTTCTTAATGCCTAATTTAAGAAGACAGCGCGCAAATTTGACGGACCTGTCGTAGAGTTCCTTTCTGTAAGAGAAAAAGAAAAGATGAGAGAATTGTATTTAATAAACTTTTACAGTTAATTAGCAAGGACAGAGTCATATTTTGGTTTGAAGTGTTGCCAGTCCTCCAAATTCAGAACAAGGGCAGCTTTTTATTTACGATTAAAAAGAACATTGAAAAGCAAACAAAATGAAAATAATTATAAAAAAAATTAATGGCATATCAATAACATAAATATAAAAAGGATGACATGTGGTCACAGTAACAAACGACAGATAATATGATATTGAAAACTGAAAGCGCATTATAATAATGAAAGATGCCTTCGAAAAGATAAGCAAAGAATTGCTGAAAAGGAAAATTCAATTAGAAATAAAGATAACTGCTGCGTTTGTTGTAATATCAATTCAACTCTCTATAGTGAATACTGCATAATCTCCTCACAGACAAAGAGATACATGTCGTTCTACTGAAGGATACTGAGAATGCCATGGGCTGAACATGTGAGTAAAGAGAAAGTTGTTAGAATGTTATAAAAAGAAACTTATGTTAGACATTTTGACGGTCGTCTTCGAGTATAGAATCCAGAGGTTAGCAGTGAATATTTCGGAGACAGTAGGAAAGCTTAGTTCAGGTTCGCAGTGGATATCGCAGCAAAGTAGCAGAGCGTAGATCTTCCTTCTGTCATCTTCGCCTGACAAGTTGGTACTGGTCATTCGGGTAGGGTAAACAAAAATGGCCGCCTTTATACACGACGGATACAATGTTCTGCGGCTTCTGATTGGTTAATCTTCTATTGGTAGACTATAAAGGGAATTAAGTCATTTTGACTAAACTCACTAGTTACACCTATATATATATACACAAAAAACTGTAACAACTTATACTTAGAAAACAACAGTTGAAATTTCTAATGCACATACTGAGGAAAGAAAGCTTGGAAAATTTCACACGCACAAGACATATTGAATTCAAGAGGGAGAGATGAAGACAGCGAATCACTTACCTATCAAGAGTATGTAAACGTCCGGCAGAACCGAAAGTAAGAGGGATTGCGAAAAGCAAAAACTTACTCAGAGCTAGAAAGGACAGGCAATTGTGGTGAGCCATGATCGTCCAAGGACGACGGTACATAGCAGAAGAATATTTCATTAGAAGAAAATGCTGAACTACTATGTAATATTAGTCCCCCGACAAGACAGTGAATGCTTAATAATTTCCTTACAGATGAGGCAGTAGAAATGTGGTTCTACAGACGAATTTTGAGAATATCATGTCCCGAGAATGTGAGTAACGAGCAAGTTTTAAGGAGAATGGAAACAGAAAGGACTTTTGCAATAAGAATCAGAAAGACAACGTTGAATTTTGGGGATATTTAAACTGAAACCCGACCGATTTGACATCATTCACAGATTCTACCCCTACACTATTGTCGAACGGCGCGGAGACATTCAAATTTTAACGTTTTTTTCTATACGAAATACGCCAGTAGCCAGGAGAACTCAATTCGTACTTGGAGAGTAATACATTAATAGCAGTAGGGGCTATATATATATATATATATATATATATATATATATATATATATATATATATATATACACGTTTCATTAAATAATATAGACAAGTGTTGTCTATTTATTTTTTTAAATTTTTTCGTAACATCTGATAAGTTTAATAACATTATCGTTGAACGAAGAAAGAAATTCACAATAGTGATCCATATTTTTTAATACAATCTAAGCTTTCGGCTTACTTAAGCCATTATCAAAGATGTCAATTACAACATATTAAACAATATACGGACAATTAGATTGTATTAAAAAAATATGGATCACTATTGTGAATTTCTTTCTTCGTTCAACGATAATGTTATTAAGCTTATCAGATCTTATGAAAAAAATTTACAGAAAATAAATAATATTATTTAATGAAACGTGTATGAATGAAAAAATGCTGCCTAAATACACACAATATATATATATATATATATATATATATATATATATATATGTATGTGTGTGTGTGCGTGTGTGTGTGTTTGCATGTGTTTTGGGGAGCTAATGCGTGCGTGTGTTCTAATTGGATGTATGGAAGTTTACTATTCCATTTGATTTTTGCATTGCATTTAATCCATTTTTTTTTTATCTAAACATTCATTTTTTTTTTTAAATCTATTTGTTTTTATATATAATCCATTTTTAGGAAAAAATATTTAATTTTTTTTCCAGCACTGCAATACGATCTTAACAGACAGATTTAATTATGAATATTTTAATTTTATAACGGTCAGTCATCTATCCACGCTTGACGATCTGTTTACTCGTGATATGACAATTAGAATTATACTAAATGGTGAGGAAGAAAATTTCAGTAAGATGTTCTTTCGGTTTCTAAATAAATTGACCGATATCGAAAAGTTTTTTTTTTGTTTTTATATTCTTTCATTGTTTGGTATTTACCCATATCGACGGTCTCTCTGCTAGCGTCATCTCAACCTGCCAGTTTCGCACCAGGCATGTTTCTCTGCCACCTGTGTCCGAGAACTTCTCGTTTGCGGATCGGGCTGCTGTCTTATTTGGAGCCCACAGATGACGGACGGAGATGGAACGACAGAGTCGTCGTCACCTATGACGGACAGCCTAAGAGATTTACCCATATTGACGGTATGGGATAATATATAAATGTTTGTATATCAAGAGCAATTTTGGTGGGAAATGTGTATGATAAAGTGGAAGAAGTACTCGTATGACTCGTATTGTCTTTTAGGACTTCATTGGACTAAATTTGTTTTACGCTGGTGCGGCTTTATATGCGCACGACCAAGAAATGTTGGGAATTCTAAATTTTAAATTATTTTTAATTTATTTAAAAAAAATGTACATGTAAATATAAATTGTTCTACAGAAGAACCTCAGTTCTTGAACGTCTCACATGTCAAACAAATCGGTTTTCGAACAGAAAATTCGAGATGAATATGCCTCGGTTATCGAACAAAATTTCGGTTCCCGAACAACATAACTGAACCGAGTTAACACGAACGGAATAATTTCTCAATCGACCGCCGTGTTGTATACATTCGTGTGTTGTGCCGTTATATTCTTTTCAAATTTTATCGTACTCTGACTTTTTTTGCTATATTGATTCCTATTGGAAATAGTTTCAATTTACGAACGTTTCGGGTTACGAACGGCCTTCAGGAACGAATTAAATTGGTGAACCGTGGTTCCACCGCATCATATTTGTATGTAACTATGTGTATCAATGTACTGTCCATCTGAAGTTATTATTCAAATCACCTAAACCTGAATAACTCGAATTTCCTTTGAAAAAAAAAATTAAATTTTATAATAAACTAGCAGGATGGCCCGGCGTTGCCCGTGCTTGATTCAAAAATCGTACGACTCATACAGCAATTGCTATCACTTGACTTAAAATATTTGTTGCCCTTCCTTGCCTTTAAATTAGTGCCCTTTGCCGTGCTGATATTGCTACATGCCTTACTTCTTGCCTATCTCACACTGCGAATTTCTTTCTAAGCTCTATACTAAACATTAAATCTGTTACGAAAAAAGAACTAAACAAAATGAACACAAAACGATCAGCTTTAAAAAAGGACTCGTAATTAGAAAAACCGAATGAAAAAAGAATATTAACAACAAATACTTTTTCATACCTAACCCAGTTCTGCGGAATCAGAATCAACGTTGAGTTTAAGCAAGCGAAAGAGACAATTGGAGTAAAATGCCATGCAGATTTAAAGTTTTCCCACTTGTGATGAATGCAGCTATCGATTTTTTTTGCATGCTAGCATGCTAGTTAACATTCGTGCCAGTCAGCTGTTGGCTCTCACGCTGGCCAATAGATTCTTACTACCTATACGTGGCAGCCAGCTATAGGCTCTCACTCTGGCCAATAGAAAATGGCCGCCAAGTACATGAAAACTGCCGTAGAAGCATGAAAAATCGATTATTTCCACTATCGATGGAAGTTGGGAAATGCAAAGTCGGTCTTGGCCGTTCCGCTAACTTGGAGCATGTGCATGTAATTTTTGGTACAAATCCGTCGAAAATTGCGGCCGTGCATTCGTCACACACACACACACACACACACACACACACACACACACACACATCCTGCCTTTTATAGATAGAGATCCAATTATTTTAAACCTTTGCCTGTCCAGGGTATAATCGTGTGTACGATCCAAACGTTCATACTTGTTTTCAGATTTATAACTATGGCAAAGCATATATAGGTTTTCAAATTATAAAACCCTGAGCATCAAAAAACCTAAAAATCTTAGTTATTTAAACTACGCTCTGTACATTACATGTGATGCAATGTTTATAATCATTTCAGTCTAATGGAAAAATAGATGTCTTTCATTTGAGAACTTACATTATCAATCAAGTGTCCTGTGGTCATGATGCAAAAAATATTAGATGAGGCCTTTCCTCAGACCACCTGTTCAATAGTAGACCCTTTCTTAAGCGTCCTTACTTTTACCACTCTTTTAAAATCATGGCTCGAAGGCACGTTATATGATGCAAGGACGTGAAAATCACAAGTCTTGTGCGTCACATATGATGTGCAGGACAGGCAAAGGGTTGAAACTGAGAAAGGCTATTTTATTACGTGTATTATCACATGTAGTTCGAGCCATGATTTGAAAAGAGTGCTTAAACTAAGGACGCTTAAGGAAAGAGCCTACTATTAAGCAGGACGTCTGGGGGAAGGTCATATCTAATACTTTGTGTATCATGACCACAGGATACTTGACTGATAATGTAAGGTCTCAAATGAAAGACATCTATTTTTTCCACTTTATTGAAATATTTATAAACTTTCCGTCTGAAGTTATTATGCAAAATCACCTAAACCTGAATAACCTGAATTTGCTTTGAAAAAAAATTATTAAATTTTATAATAAACTAGCAGCATGGCCCAGCGTTGCCGTGCTTGATTCAAAAAATCGTACGACTCATACAGCAATCGCTATCACTTGATAATATAAGGTCTCA